GGCTCTCGGGTGGGGCCAGGGATGAGGGACTCCAGGCTGGGGCAGAGAGTTGGGTGCAGGGGGTGAGGCTTTGGGGTGCAGAAGGGTGCTCTGGGGCTACAGTGGGGAGAGAGGACTCCCCCCACCTCTCTCTCCCCGCAGCAGCACCTGGGCTGGGGTGGGGAGGTGGCAGCTCTGGGACTGCAGGACAGGTGCAATTCCCCTGCCCCCAGCAGGTCTGGACTGGGGGAGGGCCACCCTGGCCACATTTGTGGTCTGGGGCCGCCCCCGGGGGAAGGCTGTGGCAGGTTGGGGGCCAGGCTAGGTGGGGTCTGGGGGAGGGGTTCCCCTCCCCGGGCCATGGCAGGTCCCCAGGTGGGTTCCCTGGGCACCTGTGCGGCTGTGCAGCTTACCGAGAACTTAGGTTTTAATATATCTTTTTTGAGAGAGGGCAGCCAGATCTGCAGGCAGCATTCATGGTGTGAGCATCCCTGGATTTCTAGAGTGGCGTTACGATAGTTACTGTCTAATTATCTGTCCTTTTCCTAATGGTTCCTACCATTGTTCGCTTTTTTGACGGCCGCTGCACATTGAGTGGATGTTTTCAGAGAACTACCCACAATGACCCCAAGATCTTCTCTTGAGTGATAACAGCTAATTCAGATTGCATCACTTTGGATGTATAGTTGGGATTGTTTTCCGATGTGCATTGCTCTGCATTTATCAACATTGAATTTCATCTGCCATTTTCTTGTCCAGTCACCCAGTTCTGTGAGATCCCTTTGTAACTATTTGCAGTCAGCTTTGGACTATCTTGAGTAATTTTGTATTGTCCACAAACTGTTTACCCCTTTTTCCAGATCATTTATGAATATGTTGAATAAGTCTGGGCCCGGTACAGACCCCTGGGGGACACCACTATTTACCTCTCTCCATTCTGAAAACTGACCATTTACTCCTACCCTTTATTTCCTATCTTAACCAGTTACTAATCCATGAGAGCACCTTCCCTTTTATCCCATGACCCCTTACTTTGCTTAAGAGCCTTTGCTGAGGGACCTTATCAAAGGCTTTCTGAAAGTCTAAGTACACAATATCCACTGGATCCTCCCATCCACATGTTTTGTTAATTCCCTAAAATAATTCTAGTAGATTGGTGAGACGTGATTTCCCTTCATAAAAGCCATGTTGACTCTTCCCCAGTATATCATGTTCACCGATCTGTGTCTGACAATTCTGTTCTTTACTACAGTTTCAATCAGTTTGCCCTGTACTGAAGTCAGGCTTAGCGGCCTGTAATTGCCAGGATCACCTCTGGAGCCTTTTTTAATAATAGGTTACAGACGACAGTTAGTAGTCCGGCTATTTCACATCTGAGTTGCTTCAGAACTCTTGGGTGAATCCCGTCTGGTCCTGGTGACTTATTACTGTTTAGTTTATCAATTTGTTCCAAAACCTCCTCTACTGACACCTCAGTCTGGGACAGTTCCTCAGATTTGTCACCTAAAAAGCCTGGCTCAGGCGTGGGAATCTCCCTCATCCTCAGCCGTGAAGACCAAAGCAAAGAATTCATTTAGTTTCTCTGCAACTGGTTTGTCTGCCTGGAGCGCTGCTTTAGCCCCACTGTCGGTTTGGCAGCTTCCTGCTTTCGATGTATGTAATCAAAGGTTTGGTTTGTTTGAGCCTGTGGCTAGTTCTCCCGGTCGCTGGTCCAAAGCCGGGGGCGAAGCACGGATCCCGCGGATCTGTGACGGCGGCAGGAGCGCCCCCTGCTGCACCTCACCGGTGTGTTCCCCTCCACAGGGAGACGCTGGATTTCCCCCGGAGCTGGCTCCTGCCGGTGATCCGGGACCACGTCCAGGGCACGCGGCTCAGCTTCTTCACCAGCTATTTCCTGCCCCTGGCAGCCACCCTGAAAAGCAGAGGTAACTAGCGGGGGTGGGGGCGGCCCCCAGGCGAGGCTGGGGAATGCGGGGCCCGTCCCCAGGAGGTCATGGGGCACAGAGCCAGCATGGCCCCCACGGGGCAGGTCAGGCAGATGGGGAGCACTGGCTGAATAAACTGCACCCTGGCCCCATCTCCTGCTGCAGGTTCAGAGGCCGTGGTCTGGGTGCTCTGCTCCCCAGGGGCCCTGAGATCAGGGGCTGGTGGTGCCTTTGCTCTCTCAGACCCTGCTGCCCCCCGGCAGGTGGCCCCAGGACACTCCCAGGGCTGCCCCTCCCCTGGGTTAACTCGGGGGTCGCAGTCTGTAAGTACTCACATAGGGAGGGTGGGCGCTGCCGTCTAGCCGAGGAAGGTCTAACGCGACCTGGGGCTGGAAGCTGGAGCGAGATACAGCGAGGCAGGAAATCAGGCGTGGATCTGTACCAGGGCAGGAAATTAACCCCGGAACATCGCCCCGGGGCGGGTGGGTTCTCCGTCGCTGACAATGTTTAAATCCAGGTGATCGGCTCTGGGGTCATTGCGGGGCTGGTGTCTGGCCTGAGCTATCCAGGGGTCAGACGAGAGGATCCCCGTGGGTCCTTCTGGCCGCAGGGTCTAGGAATCTGCTGCAGCCCTGACTTCTCCCTTGTCTCTTTGCTGCAGCCGTGGAGCTGGCCCAGGCCGGGAAGAGTCTGGAGTCCAAGATCTATGACACGCTGCAGTGGCAGGTGAGAGGCTCAGGTCGTGGGGCTCCCGGGCGCAGGGACCTGCAGCTCGGCTGGCTGGATCCTCGCGAGGGGCGGCTCTGCCGTGTCAAGCTGGTGTCCCCTCCGCTCCTTCACTGCCTCCTTTACCTTTCAGATCTGGACCTTGCTGCCTGGCTTCTGCACCAGGCCCACGGACGTGATGGCCTCCTTCAAAGGGCTGGCGCGGACGCTGGGCACGGCCATCAGCGAGCGGGCAGACCTGCGGCTCACCGTCTGCCAGGCCCTGCGCACGCTCATCAGCAAGGGCTGCGAGACGGGTGAGGGCCGGGCCCTGGGCTGCCCTGTGCAGGGGGACTGGGCCACTCGGCAGGTGGAGGGGCACGTTGCTGGGGCAGGCACACACCCTTCAGCGGCCTGGGAGCCGCAGTGCGGCCCAGTCTCCAGGGCCTTCAGTCAGCCCTGAGCCCCCCAGGGCCCTGGATGCCCAATGGTCTTTCCCATCCTGGCTGGGGGTCCCCCCTAGATCCCAGGGTTGTGGGAGGCCCAGTGCCTCCTGCTGTGAAGGTGCCAGGCGTGAGCAGCTGGATCCCTCTGGCCGAGTGTGGGGCGGTGGGTGAGTCCGAGGGCCCCGGGCGCAGACCCTCACTGCTCTGTGCCCCTCCCCAGACGCCGAGCGGGCGGAGGTCGGCCGCTTCGCCAAGAACTTCCTGCCCATCCTGTTCAACGTGTACAGCCAGCCGGGGGACGCTGGGGGCGGTGCAGCCCATCGGCGCGCCGTGCTGGACACCATCCGCACGTACCTGACGATCACTGAGCAGCAGGTGAGGCGGGGCGGGGGCCCGGACGAGCCCGGCGGGGCGGCGTAGGGCAGCACAGTCAGCTGTAACGCTGGCACGGCCCCCTCTGCCAGGGGGACCCGATGGAAACAGCTCCCCACGGGGCCTGCCGCAGAACCAGCTGCTGGAGTCTAGGCACTGCGGAGCCCAGGCCTCGGGGCGCTGAGTGAGCATTGCTGGGGGGTCATTCCCCCTGCCGGGGCCTTGCAGGGATGCTGTGCTGGGGAGGAGCCCACCCCAGAGAGGTGTTGAATTCCCTGTGGAGCCCCTGATCCCAGGCAGCCGCTCTGCAGCAGGGCCCCCGGCTGGCGGGGGGCTCGGCGAGGACCCTGGGGGGCTGCCTGAGCCGTCGGCCTTGCTCGGAGGCTGCTGCGTGCTCGCCGCCCCCTGCAGGCCAGAGGGCAGAGCCGTGCTGAGCGGGGGTTACGGGGGTGGGGGCCCAGCGCCTGAACTGACCCCGGGCCGGCTGCTCGTCCCCTCCTGCAGATGGTGTGCGGGTTTCTGGAGAAAGCCAGCGAGAAACTGACCGGCCCCGAGAGCACGGAGTTCACCAGGTAACGCCGGGGTTAGCGTGCTGCCTGGACACAGCCGAGCTGCTGGGGGGCGCTGGAAGGGACCTCCCCGCCGCAGACTTACCCTGCTCCCCCTTCCCGCGGGGTGGGTTGTTTGCCCTGCTGGGGCTGGGGGGCTGCCTCTGCTGGTGGTTAGGAACGTCTCACTCGTGACGTCGGTGTGGCCCTGGCCAGTGTATGCCCACTGGTTCTTGGTGCTGCTGGGCGGGGGGGCGCAGCGCTGAGATCCTCCCCTCCCCCCCCCAGCAGGGAGCCGGGCAGAGTCCTGGGCATCCCACCTCCCCTCCGCTAACCTCCCTCTGCTGCAGGCTCTCCATCCTGGACCTGATTGTGGCCCTGGCGCCCTACGCCGACGAGCCCTCCCTGGGCGCCCTCTACCGCACCATCCAGCCCTCCCTGCAGGTGAGTCGCCCAGGCGGGAGCCGCGGGGCAGGGGCTCTGGTGCCTCCTGCGTGCTGGGGCGGGAGGGGGCTGGGCGCCTTGCGAGGGCACCAGTGCGGATGGAGGTGCTTCCGGCTCCCCGGTCCCTCCGTCCCTCGCTGCAGTCGCCTGGCCGGCCCTGCACGAGGCTGGGATGGAGGCAGGCTCACTGGAGGGGGCCAGGCTCCTGACACCTCTCCCTGGGTGCGGGGAGCGGAGAGGCCCTGCAGCCGGGTGCCCCCAGGGCAGGCACAGGGGTCTCTGGCTGAGGCTCGCTCAGTGGAGTGGGGGGAGAGGTGCGGGCGGGGGCTTGGCTGACACTGTCTGGTGCCGTCTCCCCGCAGAGCAAGGAGCACGGGGTGCAGAAGAAGGCGTACCGCGTGCTGGAGGAGGTGTGCGCGGCCCCCCGGCTCCCCTGCCAGGCCTTCGTCCGCAGCCACCTGGACCAGCTGAAGAGAGATCTGCTGGGCTCCCTGCAGAGCGCCGCCTCCCCGGCCAAGAGAGTGAGCCCCCGCGGGGGTGGGGGCAGAGCACTCGGGGGGGGGAGGGGGCGGAGCGCCCGGGGGCAGGCTGGGGGGGGGGGAGGGGGAGGGCACGCAGGACAAGCTCAGGGGGGGGGGAGGAGGAACCGGTGGGAGTGGGGCAGAGGGCATGGCCTGGGGGGCGGGGGGTGCACAGGGGTGTCTCTGGACCTGACGGTGCTGTCCTGCTCCCCTCCCCCAGCCGCGGCTCAAGTGCCTGTTCCACATTGTGAAGCAGCTGACGGCTGAACACGAGGACTTTGTGGTGGCCCTGGTCCCAGAGGTATGGGGGGGCACGGTTCGGCCCTGGGGGGGTTCCGGGCAGGATGGCACACGCTGCCAGGCTGTTCTGTGGGAGCGGGCTCCCTGCAGAGTGCTGCTAAAACGTGGTGCAAGTGCGGGGGGGCGCTCTGGGGCAGGCGCTGGGGATGGGCGAGCAGGCGCTGGCGAGGCAGGTGCTGGGGGGACGGGTGCTGGCGAGGGAGGCCAGGCGCTGGGGGGGGCGGGCGCAGGGCCGCGGGTGCTGGGGGGGGGGGGGCAGACGCTGGTTCTAATGGTGTTTGTGCCGCCAGGTGATTCTCTGCACCAAGGAGGTGTCGGTGGGGGCCCGGAAGAACGCCTTCCTGCTGCTGGTGGAGATGGGAGAGGCCTTCCTCCGCTTTGGCCCCACGCCGCAAGGTAAGGCGTCCCCGCCCCCTTCCCTGCTCTGGGCCCTCTGACTTCCGCCCCCATCCATGCCACGGCCTCTCCAGTGCTAAATCCACCAGTCCAGCCACCTAGCTGCTTCCAGCCCCCTCTGCGGGAGGCCCTGCCTGCCCCTCCGTCCCAGCCCCGTGGGGCGCACAGGCCTGTCCTGCACAGCCCCGGTGGCCAGCACGCCTTCCAGTCCCCCGCCCGTGCTGCGGGCTGCAGTGGGGCCTGCCAGGGCCGGGCACCAGGGCTGGCCTGGCGGAGGCCCCCAGCTGAGCCGGGAGGCCTTGGAGCTGCCGCGGGGGGAGGACTGAGCTAACCCGGGGCCGTCCCTTCCCGCACAGGGGCCATGCAGCGGTTCCTGCTCCTGGTCTACGCGGGGCTGACGGGCTCGGTCACCATGATCAGCTGCACCTTGCTGGCGCTGACCCGCCTGCTCTTCCAGTTCAAAGGTGAGGGGCTCGGTGGGAGGGGCTGGAACCCCAGCTGCTCCCCTCGACGCAGGGCTGAGCAAGGGGTGTCTGACCCCCTGCGGCTGGGGCAGCCCCCGGGCACCTCCGCTGGTGCTCGCAGCCGGGCCCGGGGGTGGGAAGGGCCCTAGCAGCTGCCATGGGGAGCACAGTCAGTGCCTACTGCTAGGGGCGCTGAGGCCAGTCAGAAGGCGGGGCTCGAGGGAAGGCCCCACCCCATGGCTAAGGGGGCTGCGGTTGAGCCCAGGTGGTGATGAGCGAGCGTGTCCTGAGCCAGACTCTCTCCAGCTTTCTCCCCCAGCTCCACCCCCAGCCTGGGGGGGCCGGGGGGGACCCCGCTGCCCGGCCTGAGCCCTGTGCCTCTTGCAGATCACATGGGGCTGGCGGTGGCGGAGCAGTTGCTGCAGAACGTCTGCCTGCTGCTGGGCTCGCGCACGCGGGACGTGGTCAAGGCGGCCCTGGGCTTCCTCAAGGTGGCGCTGCTGCTGGTGGACGCCCAGCTACTGGCCAAGCACGTCCAGACGATGGTGAGTGGGGGGGGGGGGGCGGGCCCCGCGCGGGGGGGCCCCCAGAGGGGGAGCTGCTGCATGATGGTGCAGGGATGGGGAGGCCTGGCTGGGGGGGTGCTGAGCAACGTCTGAGGGGTGGGGCCCATGGGCAGGGGGAGATGGTGCAAGAGTGATGCGTATCGTGGCGGGGGAACACGCATGCTGTCCCTGGAGATCACAGCGGGGCCCGCACACTCTCTTGAGGGGATGGGGGGGGGCATGCTGTCCCAGGGGTGGGGGGAAGGGGATGGGGGG